TTCCGTGTTCGGGTTAATAATGTGCTCTCCCCGGACTTTATCCAAGCTGAAGGTGTCCCCCAGGGATGTGTTCTGAGCATAACACTTTTTCTCCTTGCTATTAATGATTTGGCATCTAGTCTTCCATCAAATATTTGGTCATCACTCTATGTTGATGACTTTGCTATTGCCTGTGCAGGTGCTGACTGTCACCTCATTACAGTTTCTCTCCAGCATGCAGTCGACCGTGTTTCCAATTGGGCCACCACACGTGGGTTTAAATTTTCCAGCACTAAAACCCACCAAATTACTTTCACTAGACGCTCTGTCATCTCCGATCATCCTTTGTACCTCTATGGCTCCCGTATCCCTGAACATGATACAGTCAAGTTTCTGGGCCTCCTCTTTGATCGTAGGTTATCCTGGAAACCTCGCATTACCTCTCTGAAAGCAACTTGTCACAGCCGGCTGAACCTTCTTAAAACCCTTGCTCATCTTTCATGGGGAGCTGATCGTCGAACCCTTCTTCGCCTACATTCCACCCTTATTTTATCGAAACTTGATTATGGTGACCAGATCTATTCAACGGCATCTCCTGCTACTCTAGCCTTAACCCCATTCATCGCCAAGGATTACGTTTATGCCTTGGTGCTTTTCGCTCTTCCCCTGTCGAGAGCCTCTGCAGAAGCGAACGTTCCATCCTTATCCTATCGCCGTGATGCCCATTGCCTTCGCTACTATGTACGCTCTCGTGATCTCCGCAATCCTTACATTTATAGAATGGTCACTGATGATGATAGACATTCTTTATTTGTTCGCCGCCACTGTTTACTCCGTCCCTTCTCTCTTCGCCTTCATTTGCTCTTGTCTTCTCTTCAATTACCACCTTTCTATGTTCATGTAGCATCTCACTTTTCCCTACCCCCCTGGGAAGTTCCAGCTGTTCGAGTCTGTTCTTTCTCTCTCCCTTGCTCGAAAGCCCAACTGTCTACGGTCGCTTCCCGCTTTCTTTTTCTTGACCACTTTCACTCTTCATTCTCATGCCATTGCTATGTACACAGATGGCTCTAAGTCTTCTGACGGCGTAGGATTCGCAGCAGTGTTTCCGGACAGCGTCGTACGGGGGCATTTACTATCTTCGGCTAGTATTTTTACTGCTGAATTGTATGCCATCCTTGCAGCACTTATCCGTATTGCATCTATGCCTGTGTCATCATTTGTGGTTGTCTCAGACTCCCTTAGTGCTTTACAGGCTATACAGAAATTTGATACACCTCACCCCTTAGTCCTCCGTATCCAACTTTGGCTACGTCGCATCTTTCCCAAGCATGAAGATATTGTTTTTTGTTGGGTCCCTGGTCATGTTGACGTACAGGGCAATGAACAGGCAGACACTGCTGCGCGGTCAGCAGTACATGACCTACCAGTTTCATATAGAGGTATTCCATTTACGAACTATTTTGCTGCAATATCTTCCCACCTTCACACCCGTTGGCAACACCGTTGGTCTACTATGCTCGGCAACAAACTTCAATCTATTAAACCAAATATAAGTTACTGGCCGTCTTCTTATCACCAGTGTCGAGGTTGGGAGACTACTCTCTCCCATCTTCGCATTGGCCATACTCGTCTTACTCATGGATATCTCGTGGAGAGGCGCCCTGCTCCTCTCTGTGAGAATTGCCAAGCTCCATTATCAGTCAGCCACATTCTGTTGGACTGCCCACTTTATCAACGACACGAGAATTTACCTCCGTCGTCGTCTTCGCTCCGCTGCTCTCTTTACCTTCCCTTCTTGCTGATGGACCCACTTTCATCCGGACTCTCTCATTGACTTTTTGACAACAACTGACTGACTTCACAAATTCTGATACCTTGAGCCCTTACTTCAATCTCTTGCTACCCTCTACCCCCGTACTATCCCCTGCCCCGCTGTTTTCTGTAACCTACTGATCATCCCTCCTCCCTTCTGCCATCCAATACCCTCGCTTCCTTCCCTACCCTGCAGCGCTGTATAGCCCTTGTGGCTTAGCGCTTCTTTTTGATTATAATAATAATACTGTGATGAACCCAAACTCCTCGAAAATTAGATCATCCAAATTTGGAGGATGAGCAGGTGCATTGTCCATTACTAGGAGGCACTTGAGATCCAATTTCTTTTCCAGGAGGTAATTCTTTACACTAGAGCCAAACACTTCATTGAACCACTCGACGAAAATTTCCCTCGTGACCCATGCCTTACTGTTAGATTTCCAAAACACACACAATTTACTCTTCAGAACATTGTTTTTCTTGACCACTGGGATTTTCAGAATGGTACACTAGTAACGGCTTCACTTTGAAATCCCCACTAGCATTAGCACAGAACATGAGTGTCAGCCTGTCTTTCATAGGCTTGTGTCCTGGCAGTGCCTTTTCCTCCTGTGTAATGTAGGTCCTCTGGCATTTTCTTCCAAAAGAGGCTTGTTTTGTCACAATTGAAAACTTGTTCAGGTTTCAGTCCTTCAGCCTCTATGTACTCCTTGAATTCATGCACATATTTTTCAGCCGCTTTGTGGTCTGAACTGGCAGCCTCACCATGCCTTACCACACTGTGTATGCCAGTACGGTTCTTAAATCTCTCAAACCAACCTTTGCTGGCCTTAAATTCACTCGCATCACCACTATTTGCAGTCGATTTCTTTACCAGATCGTCCTGCAACTGCCTAGCCTTTTCATAAATAATCAACGTCATAAGACTATCTCCTGCTAATTGTTTCTTTTATCCACACCAATAATAACTTCTCAACATCTTCGAGTACTGGTGATCTCATTTTTATCAGCATATTTACCTCCTTTGCAACAACAGCATCCTTGATTTCCTTTTTCTTGGCCACAATGGAACATATGGTTGTGTAGGGTTTGTTATACATCCTGGCCAGTTCGGCCGCACTTAAGCCACTTTCATATTTGTAGATGAATGGTTCAGAGAACCGACATGTTGATAAATTAGACACATGTGCAACTCTTGGGTATCTTTATTGAGGAAACGTTTCGCCACACAGTGGCTTCATCAGTCCATACATAGGAGAAACTTGAAGAACAGGAGGAGAATGAGGTAATCAGTCCCTCAACCTTGAGTCGATGTGTTCAGTCCATCAATCTAGATTGATGGACTGAACACATCGACTCAAGGTTGAGGGACTGATTACCTCATTCTCCTCCTGTTCTTCAAGTTTCTCCTATGTATGGACTGATGAAGCCACTGTGTGGCGAAACGTTTCCTCAATAAAGATACCCAAGAGTTGCACATGTCTCTAATTTATCAACATGTCGGTTCTCTGAACCATTCATCTACAAACCTGTCACACTGCAACTTCTTGGGATCACTTTCATATTGTTCGATGATGTTTTTCTTAAATTGTCATATTTCTCACCTTTACCAAAGGCTTGGCACTAGGAGCTTTCTTTAGAGCCATGGTAGCTTATTTAGTACTTGCAAGCACTAAAATGAGTGGAATATTATGAAATATTTCGTAGGAGCACGTGAGGGGACCTTCGCTCACTGGTAAACAATGCCAGACTGGCTGGGTAGGGAGGCCGCCCCGGCTCACACTGTGCGTACACATCCCAGACGACCTACTATTCGCGAGTCAATCTACGATTAGCGAGCCCATGTTTATACAAAAATATCGCTATGATTTCCGAAATCTACGATTCTCGAGAACTACGATTATCGAGGGACCACTGTACTGATGACAGTTGAATGGAGGTGATATGGAGTGTAACTACATGGTATGATGAGAGTAGTGTGTGGATTCTAAGTCTTCGCTCCCAGCATCACTGCCGATGGGTTGAGGGTCAGGCAAGGCAGTAGGGGTAGTGGCAGGCTTCCTTGTGAAGAGCATTGTGATGGGCAACTGAGACCATTTCCTCTTCATATCTACAGAGTTTGGTAGGAAATTATGCTCCTATCAATGTTGTTCATCACCTTCAAAGCCCTCAACATCGATGGGTCTGTTGTGTACAAATTGTTTGAGCTGTGCTGTCATTCTCATCACTTGCCCCAGTTCTTCAAGGGTGAGGGCTTGAGGTTGATTGACCTCTGCAACACACTCCTCTTCTTCATCCTCATTTTCTGCCTGCACTATCTCCAACAACTTATCATTTAGGCTGGATAATGACTTGATTGAGTGGCGGGTAGGCTGGCTGCTAGTTGCGGGGATCAGAGGGAGGGTAGTAGGGATGTGCGGGTGGCGGGAAACTCGAATATGATTTGGTGACTGGGAATTCGCGAATGTGTGAAGCCCGTGAATGTTGAGGGAGACCTGTATACTGTATATATTTTTTTTGCTTCAGTGGGGTGGGTGCATTGGTGTTTGTTTTTATGTTAGAAAAACTATTTAACAAGACAATTTGTATCAGTGCAATATCACATAGCCTCAGCCTCATTCCAGCTGAAGTGGTCATGTGTTATGGCATAATGATAATGGTTCTGTCTTTAATACAGTACTGGTTTTTTCTGTCAGGTATTTACACATCAGTATAAAATCATAAAATTACTGCACTTGTATACTAATAAATTTGTTGAAACCTACCCTAACCTTGCAAATGAGGGTTATACAGTAACAGTGTTTAATGGACTTTCTATGTACAGTATGTATTAGTTTTGTTAGTTTGATAAGCTGTTAATGGATATAAACATCATAGAGCATTATGAATCATATTACGTTTTCAGAAGGATTTTCTCATTTTCAGAACTGGAAAGAAATTAATAAAATTATATTGGTGCATTAAATGCAGCTTGACCAAGTGTAAAATCACGGACATGGGAAGATTTGATGCGATTTATTAAATTTTGACTCGTTTATATTTTTATGGTTATAAAAGTTTTGTCATGAAATGGTTTGTGGTTTGTAGACTTGTTTTCATTAGCTGTAGTTTCCTGTTAGTAAAAAAAAAAAAAAAATTTTGCAATTCTTGTTATTTTAAATTAGTGTAAAATTTTTATTTTTAAAGTTTGGTTTTGTATTTCTTTCTAGAGCCCATCGAGGAAGGCTACGCCACAGGTCACGATCGAGGTCACGTTCTTGAGGATTGTCATCAAAGATTTGGCAGACTGGGATGCAGTACTGGTATTCCTCTTTGAAGAACCATACATATTTGGTTTTACAGTGAACATATTTACAGAACTATGATGCATGTTATAAGCTCTAAGACACTTCCAGGATATATGGAAATGTTTAGAATGCCTTCATTTCAAATTATTTTTTGACATCTATCATCATTTGTTAAATTTTTTGAGTACTATATACTTATTTTTGAAGTATTGAGGATTATATTATTGAAGTTACTAATGTAGAAAATTGAATGTGGTCATTTAGCACAAATTTGAAAGTGTTACCTGGGTCCCCAGACTAATATATACTGTTCAATACTTATATGGCTTTTCTTTAACTTGGTAAATACATTTAGTTTAATTAAAGACTATGGTATTTCTTGGTTATAGAAGCTGTGTTCAGTAAAGAATTAGTGAAGTGTACAGGCTATGAAGAGATTCTGCAATAACATTGGGCACATTCCATTTTTTATGCCTTTGGAGCTTGTAATCTCTTCAGAATTTGTACAATATACCTTAAATAAAATTTCCTGCACTCCAGTTCTTTAAATGTTAACATGTTAACTTGCTAAACCAGTTTGATGACATTTAACTAACATAACAGGTTGTTAGCAGTGTTATGATCTTAACACTACAGATAGTCATGGGCATCAGAAATAGTATCAACAAAGCAATTTAGAAATTCTCTTGTACATCCGTGAAGGTTCTACGAGGAATTAAGCTCGCAATCCACATGATTTTATAGTAGCTTTTCTGGCTCGGACACAGTTCAAACTTTCTGATCATTACCAGAATTGGAAGATATTGGCATTATATTGTGTATTAAAAATTTTTCTGGATCTTCTTTTAACAAACTGGCTGTATCCCACCGAAGCAGGGTGGCCCAAAAAGAAAAACAAAAGTTTCTCTTTTCAAATTTAGTAATTTATACAGAAGGGGATGGATGGATGTAAACATTAAATACATACGTTTTGATCTGTTTACCATGCAAAATAGATTTAGATATGTTATGGAAGTTATTTTCATATACTGAGAAATCTGGTACCTTCTAACACTTTAAATTACACATACTATATTGTTTACCCATAACAGTTGAGAAAGTTTACTACTAAATGGTATGTAGAGAGATTTAATTGATTAAACATGTTTGCTCCTGGAATTTAGCAGAACATGGAACAAGGTAAAGATGTTAGTTGGTGTTAAAAATGGAATAATTTGGTGTATTTTGAATTCTACATTATTGTTTTCTGCTATCAACTTGCTGGGCACTGCTACTCACTACTATGGAAAATACTGATAATTTTTTTATTGATCTTAAAAGCAAAACTATAATTTAGAAACTTGAAAAAGAAGTGCAACAGTGAAGATCTCTGTCAGGGGGTTCTCTAGTCCAGTGAGTGACAACAGCTTAATGAACTGACCAGCCTATAGAAAAATCTAAATGCATAAGTGTTTCAAGTATGGCTGATGGACTTGGGTAACCAGTTCATTGTGATGACCCTAAACTTAAATAATTTGAATTGCATTATAAAACCATTCATGGCTGTTTTGTAAGTGGTTTACCTAAACTAGAGTAAAAGCTGTTCTTTAGGGAAGATGTTTTAAAACGGTTACATGGTCGTAATGAGCTGTGAATAACAGGAGTATGCGTATCCATGGAAAACACTAAGCCTGATAGTCTTTTGGTGCTGCATGGCAGAGGTGGAAGATGACAAAGGGGGGAAGGCAGCATTGAGGGAGACAAGTGATTTATAGAGGTATGTCAGTGGCATATTGAATATTCTTGCAATGTAGGGCCAAGAGCTTACATTATTGTGACCTGAATTTATTTGCAGTAATCCATTGCTGGTTAGAAAGTATTTTTGAATATGCTGTGTTGCTAGTTAGCAATTTCTTCTGTTTGTCCTCTACAATTAAGTCTAATGGATACTAAATGTTATCCTTTGATTTAATGTCAAATCTGAGATGATCCAGCAGATATTTGTTTTAGCCTATTCAATAAAGGGGAAATCAATTTTTACATTACTTAAGTTTAATCTTCAGCCGAGTATAGTTTGCAGCCTTATATATATATTTTTTTTTATACAGAAACTGCTGGGCTGTATTTTTTTAATTGATTGTCAGTATAGTGTTGATTTTGCAGGGTTAATTAGTTCTCATTACTTATGCCAAAGCTGTTTCTGAAAATACATAAAAATAACCTTTTATGTTGGTAATGTGGTTTTCATTATCCGTCATAGTGGGTAGTGATGTATTGTATAATATAAAAATCATTTAGATGTACACTTAAGAGGATGATTACCCTGAGCTTTTGAGTTTTTATGCAGTTTATGAATAGCAGGGTCAACTGTTTTTGCTTTACCAGTGATTTACTTGTCAATGATAAATAAAATATTAGCTTTGCTGAAAAGGTCTCTTGATGCTTGGAAAGATTATTTTGCTTTAATTATTTTAGAATAATTGTTCAAATTTGATTCCTTTTAGTTTGCAGAAAATTGTTTCAAGAAGTTGCAGAGGGGAATGGGCAATGCCAAGAAATTTTGTGTATTACGTTTGGCTATTGAATATTTGGTCCAAAAACTAAATGCTTATTTTTTCTATATGCTGTCATCTCATTTCATATAATTGTATGCAACGTAGTGAATGGTTATACGATGACAGAATTTACTTGTAAAATCTATTGTTTTGATATGGATGTGAATTCAAATTGAGTAACTGTATTTTTGTTGTGTATATGAATTAATAAATCATGATTTATTTATTTTGCATTTGTATGACCTTGTATGTTAGTATGTACTATTAGGTGGTTTTGGTAAGACAGGTGTAACACCTTGTCTTGATACCTACACCCTTGAAAAGAGGAGACAATGCTGGTGAAGGGGGGTCTTAATCCAGGGATTTGGAGTCATTCATTCCATGGCTCATACCTTATTACCTTGCATTTCTCAAGCCCTGTGCAACCTGTAGAGGTTGAGCATTTCCCTATGAAACAGTTAAGGCTTATGGCAATCTTGGTCCACTCAAGATTTTTTATATTAATGCACTATAGTTTACTAGATATGTGCTTCCTGACAGTGTGGTGCGAGGTCATTTATTAGACTTTGCTAGTATTTTTACAGCTGAACTATGCCATTCTCATTGCAGTTATCTGTATTGCATCTATGCCTACTTCAAAGTTTGTAATCGTCTCTGATTCCTTCAGTGCTTTGCAAGCTATTAAAAAATTTGATACACCTCATCTCCTAGTTCTTCGTATACAACTTCGGTTATGCCGCATTACTAGCAAAATAAAGAAATCGTTTTCTGTTGGGTCCCTGGTCATGCTGATGTTCAGGGCAATGAGCAGGCAGACTGTTGCATGATCTGCAGGAAATGACCTACCAGTTTGCTTTAATCTCTACTCACCTTCGCAACTGTTGGCAACAATGTTGGGCCGATATGACTTGTAACAAATTATATTCCATCAAACCAAATTTGGGTTTCTGGCCTCCTTGTCATCGATACCGAGGTTGGGAGATGATACACTCGTCTTCGCATCGTCTAACTTGTGGGTATCTCATGGAGAGGCGTCCTGTTCCACTTTGTGAGAACTGTCTAGTTCCTGTTTCAATTTTTCAGCTGTATGGCCCTTGTGGTTTAGTGCTTTTTGATCATAATAAATTTTTCGTATTTTATTGGACTGTCCTGTCCAATGAACACAATTTTCCTCCAACGCCCTTACTTTATTTTCCCTAAACCAGACGAACCTCACATATGACCTATAGACACAGCCAACAAATTTAATGTCTTCTTCTCAGATCAGATGACTCACAGGTAAGGACCCACGAGGGGCAAGTGGGGAGAGGGCGAAGAATAGACAGTGAGAGGAATGTCTCAAGTTGAAGAAAGAGTCAGGACTAGACCCAACTGCTAAGCCTGGATAAACACTGACGAAGACGATGTAGAAGGCAACAGAAAACTCTGCAGGTGCTGACTGCATCTTGAATGGCGATAGGTGGCTGCAGGCGACAAAGGGAGGAGCTCATCGTTGATTGGTCAGTTCATAGAGGTTGGTGGTTACCTGGAGTCGTGGCGTTGTTTTGCGATATGTATTGCAAATTTGAATTCAGTTCCGTTTTCAAGACGTTTAAAACGTTGTAGAGGGAGCAAATTTATACGTGTCAGCAAGTGGTGTTGGCTGGAATTTTTTTCTTCTAGTTGTTCTTCAATGGTCTGTAGAATAGTAGAAAGTTCAATTTTACAAAGAGCTCTAGCTGTGCAGGAAGAATCGATGGTAAACTCGACTTTCTTTTGGATGAGGCGAGAATAAAGTTTCAAGAAGCAGCATTTCTTGTTGATACTTTTCTGGAGTGTAGAAGTTGATTCCAATCCATGAAGCATATTTTCCAGTATCTTCTTCGTTATCATGTTGAAAGTCGTGAGATGGTGATTTTGGTGCTGGTTTTTCTTTCTTGTTAAGTGGTGTTGAAGGTGGAAGTGAAGATTCGTTGTCATCTTCAGTAGATGAATAGGAAGATGTTTCTGGTGGTAAAGCTTCTGATTGGTCAGTTTCAATGAGTGGCGGTGGAGGCTTCTCATTGGACGTTGTTGGTGGTGTTGGAGCTACTGCAGCAGAGGTGTTGATTAAGTCCTTGGTGAATTTGAGAATTTCTTCAGAAGGTGGAGATGCTGGAAATGTTAATGCAAATAACTCGTTGATAGTAGAGTTAAAGGATCCAGGTACAGCCATGTTCTGCATGTGAGCATATAGTAGACATTATGTCACATGTTGGAGGAGTGATGGTGGTGGTGGAGGTGGCTTGATTAGATGCTTGAAGTAATTTTGTAGTGTCTGCTTGTAACTTTGTAATTGCCGCACACGTTGGCATGTTGTTAGATTTTTTCTTGCTGCATCTTGTGATTTCTTCATAATATGAAGAAATCACAAGATGCAGCAAAGAAAAAATCTTTACTGTAGGATCAAAGCTAGCAAGTCAAATTCCTAGCACAAATACCCAGCCGAGCGAGTACCTCACTGGCAACTACCCAATACTCTATTTCTAGCTCCAACTAATTCCACTGAAGTGTCTTCCTCGTCATTAAATCATTACAGACCAAAGAAGGCGATCTAGATAACGTGCCACCATTCATATATAAAAAAGCTGTGCAGTGGAACCTCAAAAATTGAACTTAATCCGTTCCAGGAACTAGTTCTAAATTCAAAAAGTCTGAAATTCGAAGCAATATTTCCCATAAGAAATAATGGAAATAAAATTAATCCATTCCAGAAACCCAAAAATATTCACACAAAAAATACATTTTATAGAGATTAATTACAGTTTTACATACAACAAATACTATAGTTTTATATGTATTACTATACATAATTAAAATAACATTTTTACTTACCTTTATTGAAGATTGGTGATGGCATCTGGAAGATAGGGAGGAGAAGAGAGGGAGTTGGGGTTAGTGTTTGGAAGGAGAATCCCCCTCCATGACTTCAGGTAAAGCCCTCTCTGGGGTTACTTCCCTTCTCTGTCTTTTAATGCCACTAGGACCAGCTTGAGAGTTACTGGACCCGTCTCACAAAATAACTGTCCACAGTCCTGTTTCTGGCGCCTCTTTAACATTTCCCTAAAATGGGACATGGTTCTGTCACTGAACTTGATGCAAAGATGGCTTGTTTCAGCTTGCTCAGGGTGGTACTTCTGCACAAACATTTGGACATCATTCCACTTGGCACAAATCTCCTTGATCTTTGAAGAAGGCACCTCATCCACTCCCTACATTAACACCTTTCGCAACATCAGCTTCCTTGATTTGTTCTTTCTTGGACAGGATAGAACCAATGGTCAACTTGTTTTTCCCTTACATCCTGGCAAGCTCAACAAGTCTCGCACCACTCTCATACTTCTGTATTATTTCCTTCTTCACATCTATGGTGTTTCTCACTTTCTTTACCACAGGGGTACCACTAGCAAGTTTCTTTGGGCCCATGGCAGCTTATTTCACAGTCCCACAAACGCTAAACACAACGAAATAATCGTAAAATGCGTGAATGAGAGCGCAGATTAGTGTTCACTTAAGCATTAAACAAAGCTAGACTGCTCACGGCGCCTGCGCGGGGATGCGGACAGAGCGGCCGGCAGACAGGTCCCGTACCCGGCGGTCCGAAAATAGGGGCGCATTCGATAATAGGGACACAGTTTGTCCAAAAAAATGGTCCTATTTTTGAACCGTTTGATATGTGATATGTTCGATTTTTGAGGTTCCACTGTACTTGAACTGTCACCCATTATTGCAACAATGTTTAACAAATTTATAGCATCCTCAACCTTCCCATCTATACTCAAGACAGCAAGGGTCACCCCAATCACAAAGAAGATCCAACTGATTTGAACAACTACAGACCCATATCAAACTTGCCCTTACTTTCCAAGATATTTGAAAAAATAATACACAACCGACTTTACTCCTACCTTACATCCAACAACATACTTAACCCACGCCAGTTTGGGTTTAGACCAAAAAAAAGTACAAATGATGCTATTATACAAATGCTTGAATTAATATACACAGCTCTCGATAAAAATGAATATCCCCGGGGCTCTTTATCGACCTACGAAAAGCATTTGTCACAGTTGACCACAATCTTCAAACTGAATCATTATGGCATCCTATCTTAACGACAGACACCAGTATGTACATGCAAATGGAGTCAACTCCGCTATCCAACCTGTAGCTGTAGGAGTCCTAGGCCCACTCCTCTTTCTCATCTACATCAATGATCTCCCCAATGCATCCCAACTCCTTAAACCAGTTCTATTCGCAGATGACACTACATATGTCTACTCCCATTCAGACCCAGCTGGGCTTGGAAACACTGTAAACAATGAACTGCTAAAGATGTATGCTTGGATGATGATCAACAAATTCAACAGACAAAACATACTTCATGCTGTTTGGAAACAGAGCCTCAAATATCCAACTTAACATATAGTTAAGTGGTTCCCCTATATCAAGACATGGAGGCAAATTTCTAGGTCTTCTCCTTGACTGTAATCTTAAATTTCAGTCCCATTACCCTGGGGAGGTTATCCGAGGCCTGGGGAGGTTATCTGGGGCCCGGGGAGTTTATCTGGATACACAAATAACCCGCACATAAAAGAGAAGCTTACGACGTTGTTTCGGTCCGACTTGGACCATTGACAAAGTCACACTAACCAGAGGTGGAGCAGGACGGCTATATATAGGCAGGAAGAGGTGGTGGTGGTAGTAGTAGTAGTAGTACAAGAGTTGTATATAATACCGACAAGATGAAATTAAGACACATGCACAACACCCGGGCATCCCCATCATAGACGTTTCGCCATCCAGCCAGCCACTGGATGGCGAAACGTCCACAACAAAGACAACCAGACGCCGCACATGTGTCTTAATTTCATCAGTAGTTGTAGTAGTAGTAGAAGAAGAAGAGGTAGTGGTAGTGGTAGAAGTGGGAAATAAAAAGGACGAGCCAGTCAAATACAAAGGAAGGGGAGCACTGCAAGAGAGCTAATGCCCACAGAGGGAGAGCAAGCGCACAGAGGTGCGTGAAAGGGAAGTGGTGAAATAAATGAAGAAGGAACAGAAACACGAGACATGAGAGAGAAAGACAACCCAGAGGAGCAAAGGAAAGAGGAAAGGGGAAGGGGAAGAGGAAGAAGAAGAAAAAGAAAAAGAAAAAAATGAGGATTCAGGTTAAGTCACGGGTGTTCTGAAGTTTGGAGCATTTTACAA